CACAACACAAACAAGCTAAACAGAACAATGTCAGTCTGATTCTTTATGAAGTCTAATTCTAAATCTAATCACTTTTCACCATTTCAGGATTACAGATTACAAAATTAATCTACTACGATTTTTCATTATTAGAAATAAGGAAGCCACACAAGAAAATAAGATTTTTGTTGTAAAATACATAGAGATCAAAAAGCACCAACACAAAACGATGACACGCAGCCAAGAAAATGTTGTGGAAGAGAGTAGATTATTTCCAATTCCTCCTTCTTCCCCTCCTATACCTTTTCCATGCCATGCAGCAGTGGGGGGGAGGAGGCAGGTGGGCGCCGGTGCTCATGGGACTGGCTTTTAATCTGACTCCCCATGTGTACCAGCTCCTGTGAAGCCACCCCCACCCCACGCTGCTGCCTTGAATACAGTCTCTAGAACCAGTGCGGGGGACAGCGGGAGAAACCGGTGGCCTATAAGGATGAAAAAAATTATTAAAAATATTAACCAGCAGCCCCATGCAGAGTTTAACCATTAATGGTAACAGATAAGTATCAGCTTATTGGTTAATCTCTTGCATTCCTAAGGGTCTCTGATTAAAACTGCATGCTAATAAACTTAATTGCTTTCATTTTCTCTGTAATGCTTTTACCTTAAGAAAACGTGTGCTTGCTTACAAAGTGTTGTGCACGTACTTAAACCTGAGGTCAATCATAGTTTATAGCTTCTGAAGAGCATCCAAAGCAGGATTCCTTAAGCAGTCTCACTAATGATTTCACAGGCAGGAAACTGTACAGCTTGGAAATCCTTGGTCAAGAGGGAGAGCCAAGAGTAGGGCCAGGACCAGTGCTATTTTTAGTACCGCATCTTTGACTCCAACTCTGGAAGCCACCATGCAGGCCACATGGTGCCTGCCCAGCTGCTCCAGGGACAGGGCAGCCCTGCCACTGCAGCTGCATATCTGTGCTGAGAGAATGGTGGGGGAAACTGTTATCTCAGGCCTGATCCCCAGAGCCCCCGCAACTCACCAGCTGGGAACTGAAGATCTACTGGAACAACTTCCCAGGGGTTGCACTGGATCTTCATCACTGGCAATTTTTAAATCAAGACTGGATCTTTTTCTAAAAGATCTGCTCTAGTTCAATCAGGAATTAACCTAAGGAATTGCTATGGCCTGTCATATGCAGAAGGGGTCAGAATAAATAATCACAATGTTCCCTTCCGGTCTTATCTCTGAACCTGTAGACTAGGGGTTCTCAAACTGTGATACAAGTACCACCTCTCGTCCACTTATGCCCCTTCCTAATATCAGATTTGTGTCCATTGATTCTTTTACGTAGGGACTGTCCTGTTTGGCCGATGTATATAGCAGTGGGGCATTGTTGGCACATGATGGCATATATTACGTTGGTGGATGTGCAGGAGAATGTACCAGTGACAGTATGGCTGATCTGGTTAGGTCCTGTGATGGTGTTGCTGGTGTATATATGTGGGCAGAGTTGGCACCGAGGTTTGTTGCAAGGATTGGTTCCTGAGTTCGAGTTATTATGGTGCGGTGTGTAGTTGCTGGTGAGAATATGCTTCAGGTTGGCGGGTTGTCTGTGGGCAAGGACCGGCCTACCTCCCAAGGCCTGTGAGAGCGAGGGATCATTGTCCAGGATGGGCTGAAGATCACTAATGATGCGTTGGAGAGGTTTTAGCTGGGGACTGTAGGTGATGGCCAGTGGTGTTCTGTTGGTTTCTTTCTTGGGCTTGTCCCGTAGCAGGAGGCTTCTGGGTACACGTCTGGCTCTGTCAATCTGTCTCCTCACTTCCTCGTGTGGGTATCGCAGTTTACAGAATGCTTGTTGAAGGTCTTGTAGGTGTAGGTCTCTGTCTGAGGGGTTGGAGCATATGCGGTTGTACCTCAGTGCTTGGCTGTAAACAATGGATCGTGTGGTGTGTCCGGGATGGAAACTGGAGGCATGCAGGTAAGTATAGCGGTCGGTAGGTTTTCTGTATAGGGTGGTATTGATATGACCGTCACTTATTTGTATCGTGGTGTCCAGGAAATGGACCTCCCGTGTAGATTGGTCCATGCTGAGGTTGATGGTGGGGTGGAAGCTGTTGAAATCATGGTGAAATTCTTCCAGAGTCTCCTTCCCATGGGTCCAGATGATGAAGATGTCATCGATGTAGCGTAGGTAGAGAAGGGGTGTAAGTGGACGAGAGCTGAGGAAGCGTTGTTCCAGGTCAGCCATAAAAATGTTGGCGTATTGTGGGGCCATGCGGGTGCCCATAGCAGTGCCACTGGTCTGGAGGTATATGTTGTCACCAAATCTGAAATAGTTGTGTGTGAGGATAAATTCACAGAGTTCAGCCACCAGTTGTGCTGTGGCATCATCAGGAATACTGTTCCTGACAGCTTGTACTCCATCTGCATGTGGGATGTTTGTGTAGAGAGCCTCTACATCCATGGTGGCTAGGATGGTGTTTTCTGGAAGATCACCTATGCATTGTAGTTTTCTCAGGAAATCCGTAGTGTCACGAAGGTAACTGGGAGTGCTGGTGGCGTAGGGTCTGAGCAGAGAGTCCACATAGCCAGACAGTCCTTCAGTAAGAGTGCCAATGCCCGAGATGATGGGGCGTCCGGGATTTCCAGGTTTGTGGATCTTGGGTAATAGATAGAACAACCCTGGTCGGGGCTCTAAAGGTGTGTCGATTTGTTCCTGTGTTTGTTTGGGGAGTGTCCTGAGCAGATGGTGCAGTTTCTTAGTATATTCCTTAGTGGGATCTGAGGAAAGTGGCCTGTAGAATTTGGTATTGGAGAGTTGTCTGGCAGCCTCCTTTAGGTAGTCAGGCCTGTTCATGATGACAACAGCACCTCCTTTGTCAGCCTCTTTGATTATAATGTCAGAGTTGTTCCGGAGGCTGTGGATGGCATTGCGTTCTGCACGACTGAGGTTACCAGGCAAGCGATGCTGTTTTTCCACAATTTCTGCCTGTGCACGTCGGCGGAAGCATTCTATGTAGAGGTCCAGACTGCCATTTCGGCCCTCAGGAGGAGTCCATGTGGAGTTCTTCTTCTTGTGCTGTTGGTGGGAAGGTATCTGTGTGTCAGTGCACTGTTCAGTGTCGTGTTGGAAGTATTCCTTGAGACGGAGACGGCGAAAGTAGGCTTCCAGATCACCGCAGAACTGTATCATGTTAGTGGGGGTGGCGGGGCAAAAAGAGAGTCCCCGAGATAGAACAGATTCTTCTGCCGAGCTGAGTGTGTAGTTGGAGAGATTGACGATATTGCTGGGTGAGTTAGGGGTACCATTGTTGTGGCCCCATGTGGCAGGTAGGATTTTAGACAGCTTACAGTCCTTTTTCCTCTGTAGAGAAGTGAAGTGTGTAATGTAGATCTCCTGTCTTGTTTTAGTAAAGTCCATTTGTGCAGAAGGTTGGTGTTTTATGAGAGACTCCAGATTGGAGAGCTCTTTTTTGATGTTTTCCTGTTTGCTGTACAGGATGCTGATCAGGTGGTTCCTCAGTTTTTTGGATAGTATATGGCATAATCTCTCACTGTAGTCTGTGCAGTATGTAGATAGCAATGGATTTTTCACCTTCAGTCCATTTGGTATAATGTCCATCCGTTTGCATTTGGAGAGAAAGATGATATCAGTTTGTACTTGTGCAAGTTTCTTCATGAGGTTGATAGATTTCCACTCCATACGGCTAAATGCAGTGCCTTGCATGGTGTCAAGTATCAGAGGGGTAGCCGTGTTAGTCTGAATCTGCAGAAGCGATGAGGAGTCCTGTGGCACCTTATAGACTAACTGAAGTGTAGGAGCATAAGCTTTCGTGGGCAAAGACCCACTTCGTCAGATGCATGTAGTGGAAATTTCCAGAGGCAGGAATAAATATGCAGGCCAGGATCAGGCTGGAGATGACCAGGTGGATCCAATCAAGGAGGATGAGGCCCACTTCTAGCAGCTGATCTGGAGGTGTGAATTCCAAGAGAATAGAAGCTGCTTTTGTAGTTAGCAAGCCATTCACAGTCAACGTATGTTTCTGTGAGTAACCACAACCACAGAGGACTTTGTATTTGTCCTTATTAAACGTCATCCAGTTTACCTCAGACCATTTCTCCAATTTGTCCAAATCATTTTGAATTATGACCCTATCCTCCAAAGCAGTTGCAGCCCCTCCCAGCTTGGTGGTATCTGCAATCTTAATAAGCGTACTTTGTATGTCAATATCTAAATAGTTGATGAAGCTATTGAACAGACCGTACCAAAACAGACCCCTGCGGTACCCCACTTGTTATACCTTTCCAGCAGGATTGAGAACCATTAATAACTACTCTCTGAGTATGGTCATTCAGCCAGTTATGCACCCACCTTATAGTAGCCCCATCTAAGTTCTATTTGCCTAGTTTATTGATAAGACTATCATGCGAGACTGTATCAAATACCTTACTAAAGTCTAGGTTTACCACATCCACCGCTTCTCCCTTATCCACAAGACTCGTTATCCTCTCAAAGAAAGCTATCAAAGAAAGCTATATGTGCCCTTTTCCAGTCTGCTGGAATCTCTCGTGTCTTCCATGATTTCTCAAAAATGACAGCTAAAGGCTCAGATACCTCCTCTATCAGCTCCTTGAGTAGTCTACAATGCATTCCATCAGGTCCTGGTGACCTGCAGACATCTTAATTTTTCTAAGTGATTTTTAACTTGTTCTATTTTATTTGATCTTCTAAACCTACCCCTTTTCCACTAGCATTCACTATGCTAGGCATTCCTTCATCAGACTTCTTGGTGAAAACCGAAACAAAAAAGTCATTAAGCACCTCTGCTATTTCCAAGTTTCCTGTTACTGTTTCTCCCGCCACCCATTTTCACTGCTACGTGCTCCTATAGATTAGATTTATAGAGAAACAGTATTTCATTTACTTTAAAAAAAAACACAAAGGAAACACGAGTGGGCAGTTTATAAACCAGTAAAAGGTTATCCAACTCTTTTCTACAGTATGCTTGGAAATACTCACCTGACGAATGGCCAGTACTCCCTGGGGATCTACAGTCAGTTCTGCTAAATGAACGCCAAATTCTGAAAAAGAAAGAAAGAATATCTAAATGAGACTGAAAATAGAAACAACATTAGCCTTAAGTTAGGTAAGACCATAGTACAAATCACAAAAAGGATTTTGGCCTGCATCTTCTGGAAGGCACAATGCTGATAGAGCATGGAAAAGACAGCCCCATGAAGTAGCTTGTCAGCTGAATTGTAGGCATCCAAATTCTACCTCCAGTGCTATTCCTAGATTTCACAACTCTTCCCAAAAACTTATTTCCCTCTCTCAATGAGCTTTTCTGTAACTGCTTTTTATACTAAGTGAAAGACTGTATATCCCCCCCCCCCGCCAAAAAAAATATTGTGTTATCAATTTAAGTTACTACAGATTGTGTGCAACCAATGACATTAAGCAAGCAACTATACAGAAGCTATGAAAAACACTCAGATGAAGCTACATGACTCTGGGCTCACCACAGACAGAGGTAACACCATGTCAGCAGCCCGTCCATGGGGGGTCTGAGCTCCCCAGGGACAGAAGTTGTGTCTGCATGCCATGGAGCAGTCTCTGTCTGCAGTGAGCCTGGGCCACCAGGGACAGAGGTTGCTGCCTCCCCTGCCTCCGATAGAGGCGCAACAACTAGGGATGTAACAGTGTAGTCAGTTTACCAATAACCAAAAGCTCATAGGTTAATGCTATAGAGTACATGCACACACACACACACACACACACCCCATACACACACACTTGCCAGTAAATTTTTTAGCAGGCTGAGGAAGTGGGTCCGGCCCACGAAAGCTCATCACCTAATAAACCATCTTGTTAGTCTTTAAAGCGTTGCATAGTCCTCTCTTTTGTTTCAGCAAGACCAGACTAACACAGCTACATCTCTATTAAAATCTTTCAGTCACTGCTTCCCAAGCTAGAGGCCCTAATGGCCAGCAGCCTGGCTTAGTTCTGGCTCATGCTGGGTGCGGGACCTACCCTCGCTGTGCCTCTGTATTTAAAGTGTATTAGGAGACAGGCGGGCAGGCAGCCTGGCTCGCACCAGGTCCAAGAGTTCAGATACTGCCTCCGCCCCTCACAAACAGGGATTGCTGCCACCCTGCACAGGGCAACAAAGCAGCTGGATTGCAGGAGGAGCTGGTTTTTAAACTGACTCCCCTCACAGACTAGCTCTTGTGGGGAAAATCAAATAACTCCAATTGTGTCTAAAGGGGGGGGACTGTGCAGAAATCAAAACTCTCTAAAGAAAACTGCTGTAAGGGTTTAAAAGTTTTCCAGACCTCTCTCCCTGTAACAGAGAGAAATCAAATTAGCTCTAATCAAGACCCTTATAATGCCTCCCATCTCAAGTTCATGGAGACTCCTAGTCTGTCACAATTTGTCATGTAACCCTTATCTTTGTCACAGTTTGCCTTGTAGACTCCTCCACTCAAGTTCTCATGTGGCTTTGTGTACTGTAAAAACTTACTTCTAGCACTCCTGGGGTGAACAGAAGTCTCAAAGTACTTCTGCTGAGACTTTGATATGTTAAAGAAGAACAATCCACAACTGAACTGTCTAAGCATTCTGTATATAGGATACCTGAATCTGTCTGTCAGGGCTGCTGCTTCACTCTTGGAAGTGACAGCCTGCATGCATGCATCATAAAGTTTTCTCTTTTAGGTTTCTTTCCTGCCTCACTGATTTGACCTCCGGCCTCGAACCCTTCTGGGGGCTCTGTACCCCAGGGGAGCGAGATTTCCCCCTCACTCTCACCAGGCACCCTGCACTGCTGCTAGCCCCGCTCCCTGGGACTACAGAATAGTCGACTAACTGATAGGAATTCATAAGGTTATTCAACTATTCAATTAACTGATATTTAACATTCCTACTTTGTAACCCATTTAATCCATGCCATGTTAGTTTTTATAATGTTCTCTTCCCCCCCCCCCCCAATCAAATTTTTAGAAGGTACTAAGTCACAAACTAATGTCACAGCCTTTTTTGGCACCAAAAATTGGCTCTGGAGAATGCTGCCTCTATTCCCCATTTCCACGATCAAAGAAGAGTCAGTCCCAAGGAGCTTAGCAGAGTCCAGCAAGACACCAAAGATTCCCTTCAAAAGATCCACCGAAGGGGGAGGGAATCAGACTCATAGAATCAGAGATTACTAGAACTGGAAGGGACCTCGAGAGATCAAGTCCAGTCCCCTGCCAGGTTCAAGCACAGGGAGCTGAACTCCACTGGTTAGAAGGAAAGCTCAAGGAACCCAGACAACAGGCACAATATTTAACAATGGGACAATCTGGTATGTGTGCTATATCATTGGGGACACTTATTTTGTGGGCAGTTTGAAACCATCCCACTATGCATGCAAGTCTTCAAGACCAAAGCAACAGCAAACAACTGCAAGAATTCAAGAGACATAACTTGTTCTCTCATGGAATAGTGAGAAAGTAACCCTAAAGAAACTACCTGTGTTCTGATTGTATCATTTCAAGTCTTCATCAAAAATATAGGTCATGTTCTGACTTCGGCTAATAAGGCCAATCTGCTTTGCCAATCAGGCCAGACTGTTACAATAGATCTCTCCTAAGCCAAAATAATTGAACAAGAGAAAATGAGGGACCACAGGCTGACCATCAAAGCTCTTTGTTTGGAAACACCTCAAGTCTTATCAAACACACACCATGTAACTCTCTCCCTGAAGTCCCATCTCAGAAGACTGTGGAATATTCTGAAAGACCAGCAATAAAGCTGTTCATTGTGAATTAATCTAACTATTTAACTGTCCTTGAAAATAAGACATTGCTACTGTTAGGCTGAGTGTTGTGAGCAAGACACGAGAAATCATTCTTCCGCTCTACTCTGCACTGATTAGACCTCAACTGGAGAACTGTGTCCAGTTCTGGGCACCACATTTCAGGAAAGATGTGGAGAAATTGGAGAAGGTCCAGAGAAGAGCAATCAGAATGACTAAAGGTCTACAGAACATGAGCTATGAGGGAAGATTGAATTGGGCTTGTTTAGTTTGGAAAGGAGAAGACAGGGAGGACATGATAGAGGTTTTCAAGTATAAAAGGTTGTCACAAGGAGGAGGGAGAAAAATTGTTCTCCTTGTCCTCTCGTGATAGAACAAGAAGCAATGGGCTTAAATTGCAGAAAGGGAGGTTTAACTTCCTGTCAGGGTGGTTAAACACTGGAATAAATTGCCTAGGGCAGGGTTTCCCAATTTTATTTGGCCACAGAACCCTTTTCAGCTTGAAAGAATTTCAAGAAACCCCTAAGGTTGCCAGGGTAAAATGATTCTAGGCTGAGTTGGAGAAAGCATGTCTTCACAATAATGGCATGATTAAAGCATCACAAGACTTGAATGCATCTAGTCTCTTTTAGGAATGTAATAGTACAGTTGATTAACCAATAACAAAAGCTTATAGGTTAATACTATAGACTACATGCATTTCTGCCCTCCTACCCCCCTTTGCCAATACATTTTTTAGCCAGCTGGCCAACAGCCCAGCTAAGTCCTGGCTGAGACTGTCAGGAATCATGGGTAGTGTGAATGGTTAGGATGAGTGAATCTACAGTAAATGAGCTGCAGAGAGGCTATGCTGAAGTCCAGGCAAAAGCCCTGGAGGATTATGGACTTGTTTGGTCCGGGCAAAAACCCCAAAGGATTATGGACTTGTTTACAAATTTAAGAAAAGACTGTGTGAAATAAAAGAACTGTGTATGTAGCTGAGATAGCGTTTCCAGCATTTGCCAGATAAGAAAAAGTAACAAGGGAAGAATCTTACCAAGGAAAGATCATTATTTCATGCTCGTGGTAAGGCAAGCAATAAAAAAAAAGAGATATTTCTGGATCGGTCGTGGACACATCAGTGAGAAGAAGGGGGTGTCACTAACGGACATCACCCCCCTGGACTGTGTGCAACCAGTGGATGGCATCTCACCAGACTGGCCCCTGCCAAGGGGATATATACCACACCATTTTCCCCCACAAGTCGGAATCCATCGAGTCAGCATATTGGGGTGACGTGCACGTCAGACAACCGCCTCAACCAAACTGACCAACATTACCTGGGGTCTGGCCAGCCCCAGAGGGTGAGTGTGTATGAGTGAGTGTGTTAAATTGGATTAAGAATTAGGCTGCTAAATTGGGTTGAGGATTAGATGTAGATTGTTAATTATTCCATTTAAATATTGCTTTTAATGCCCGTGATGCCTTTTAATGCTGTTTTAATTGTTTAAGTACTAAATATACATATATAAAGAGAGCTTTTAAACCTGCTCCTGAACTGAGGGCAATAAAACTTGTTAAAGGTATGTTTAAGATACTGTGAAAGACTCTTTTGTTCTGTGAATGCTGAACCAAATGGGTAGTGTGATATGGCTTGATCAACCGGACCACAGCGCCCTCTTGTGACAAGACCGGGTCTGGCACCGACCCATGCCGCAGCTCTGCATTTAAAGAGTATTAGGAGCCCGATGGGCATGCAGCCTGGCTCATGCTGGGTCCCAGAAGCTCAGCCCCACCCCCACTCCCCAGGACAGGGGCTGCAGCGTGGACCAACAGGCAACCAGTCAGTGAGGGGAGCTGCTTTTTAAACTGGCTCCCTCAGCACCCTGCGCTGCTGCCTCTGATACAGAGGTGGCAGGGGACAGGGATGTTAAAATGCAGTTAATTGACTAGTTGAGTAGCTGATGGAATTTCGAACAGTCGACAAGTACTTCTGCAGACCTCCTTGAAATGTACAGGTTGTGCATTTCAAAGGAGGAATGCAGAACTCCGCATACAGCCCGGGGCCACAGGAAGTCCCACTGACTCCAAACTGCACATGGGTGCCTGCTTTGAAATTTACAATAGTCCCCAGAAGGGCTTTTGTGCATTGCAAAGCCATGGAACCCAGGGCCAGTGGGGGTCTCATTTCAGTAGAACCCAGAATCAGCTGGGGATTCCCCAGCTGACCCTCGGTGCACAGCAGTTCCCCAGAACCCATGGTCAGCTGGGGCTGACCCCTGGTTCTGGGGAAACGCTGCGCACAGCCCGAGATCAGCTGGGGAGTCCCCAGCTGCCCCTTTGCAATCCGGAGGTGATTCCCAACGCCCCTTTGAAGTGCCGCCTTGGCGTTTCAAAGAAGCATCATCGCACAGATGATCTCCAGCTCAGCTGGGCAGCGCTGCCACTTTGCAGTACCCCTTCCCGCCCCTTTGCTGCCTCTATCTGATAGAGGCGGGGGGTGGGAGATTGACTAGTTGACAGATTATCCGATAAGTAAATGCTTATCGAATAGTCGACTAGTCCTTAAGATTCTTAGCAGGGGGCTTCTCAGGAGTGGGACTGAAATGCACTGGCTGCCAGCCCCGCCCTCAGGGATTATAGAATAGTCAACCAACCAATAAGAATTCATGGGGTTCATTTAACCAGTTCATTTAACCAATGTTTAACATCCCTATGCTTTTTACCCATGTGATGAACCCTTGGTTCTTTTTAATGCTTCTCAGAAAATACATACCTGGGCTGCAGTCCAGTAAATAGCAAGCATACAGCATACAAGCATTTAAAAAGTTTAACTGCAGTTTATGAATAACGCTAAGTCAATAAACAACTGGACAATAAGGCTGCAGATACTGCATTAAAACAGCTTAGGCCAGGGGCCTGATCTGGCACTTGAGGCTTGGTTCTCTTCCCCCTAGTATCAGGTTGATGGTGGTGATGCTCCATCCCCACCCCTCAACTCTTCCCATGGGAATGGAGCATCAGTGCTGGCTCCCCACTGTGGGGAAGGAGCGCTAAAAGCTTGCGAGCCAGAATCAGGCAAGCCAGGGCTGGATCCAATCCATGAGCTCTGTCTGGAAGGAGGAAGAAGTGGCTCCATGTGCTGCCGCCGCCTCTCTCTGTCCCCCAGGCTGGCTTTTCCCCCCGGCTGCTCTGACTGGCTGAAATCAGAATCAGCGCTATCAGAAATAGGGATGTGAAAGGTTAATCAGTTAACCAGTGAACATCACTCATTAGGTTGATGCTCTGGGCATCTGGAGCAACCCCTGTCCATGGTGGGCCCAGGGGTCACAGGTAAGTGCAAAGCAATAGAAACAGCTGCAAGCATGGTGCACTGAATCTCTGGTAATATTCTGAAGAAGAAGCACAATCAGCAGGGCTCAACAAACTATGGAAAACCCTACTCGCCAAGCAAAAAAGGGACTTGCCACCCTCCCCCACAAAAAGTGTTTTTTTAATGGCATAAATTCCTAATAAGAATAAGAACAGTAATTACTAATAAAAAGTTGTTAATAAATATCTTATAAACCTCTACCTTTTCCCTTTGCTGCCATGTCTCCTCCCCTTGCTCCATCAGCTCCCCTGGTGCCTGCTGCCTCCCAACCCCTCACCCTTCTATGCTGTCCTGACTCCTATCCTTCTCACTGCCCTCAGCATTCCTGAGACCTGCCCCCCTCCACCAGCCTCTCTCTCCCCCGTCCCCACACACAACCTGCACCCCTACCAGTGCTCTTTGCTAGCCCATACCCCCTATTCCTGGTGTCCTTCAGTTTCCCTTCTTCTCTTCAGAGACTCAGAGGAACCTGCACCCCCAGAGCATACCTCCATTCATGTTTCAAGGAGCCCCTCTTTTTCCTGCCTAGGACACTCCCCATCGCACACTCTATCCCTATCCCTATATTTTCCCCATTTATAGGACCCTTAACCCCCATTTCTGCCCTTCCTAACGCACAGTTCCTCCTTCCCGCCTGCCATCGCGACTGCCATCGCTACCTTCCCCCCAGCCCTCCTTCCGCATGTAAGGACTTCCTCAACCCCTCTCCTCTTCTCTCTCCTGCCCCCGTCCCTTCATGCCTTCCCTTTTCTTCTTCTTCTCCTGACCTCCTTCCCTCCCCTCCCCTCAACACAAGCCCCTTCCCTCCCCTCCTCTCAGCCCAGCCCCTTCCCCTCCCTCGGGGCCAGCTCTAGGTTTTTTGCTGCCCCAAGCAAAACATTTTTTGCCCCCCTCCCCTTTGTTGTTGCCTTTTACACGTTTGCACTTTGCAATGGGGATTTTTTTTTTTTTTGTTTTTTTTTATTTTTTTCTTTTCATTAGTTTTTTTCCATAAAGGCAAAGGCGCTTCAAGTAAACTCCCCCTTTCACTCGCTGCTGGGTCACAGCAGCCTTTTCCCTGCCCTGTCCAGCCCCTCCCTATGGACAAGCACCCCTCACTCCCGACCCACAGGGGGAGCAGGGTGCAGGGACAGCACAGAGCCAGAGGGTGCAGAGAACAGTGGAGGGGTACAGGAGTAGCACAGGGAACGGGAGGCACAGAGCCAGAGGGATGCAGGGATTGGGGGGAGCAGGGTGCAGTGGAGGCATGGGGAATGGGACAGGTAGAGCGATCGGGGTCTAGGGGCAGTGCAGGGAACGGGCAGCACAGAGCTGGGAAGGGCAGGGATCGGGGGAGCAGGGTGCGGTGGAGGCACGGGGAATGGGATGTGGGGAATGGGAGGGACAGAGGAATCAGGATCTAGGGGCAGTGCAGGGAATGGGCAGCACAGAGCAGGGGAGGGCAGGGATTGGGCGGAGCAGGGTGCAAGGGCAGCACAGGGCCAGAGAGTTGCAGGGAAGAGGGAGAGCAGGGAGTCCAGGGTCCAGGGCAGCAGGGGCGGGGCAGGGA